CAATGGTACTGGATTTTTATTCTGTTGCATGGACTGACTTTGTGGGAGCCTGGTTTGTTTGGATGCTCACCTTTATAGACCTAGATGGAGGAGGGAGGACCTTGGACTTCCCACGGGGCAGGGAACCCTGACTGATCTTAGGACTAGAGAGGGAGGGGTAGGGAGGATGGGGAGGTGGAGAGGGGGAGGGAAAAGGGAGGCGGGGAGGAGGTGGAAATTTTTAATAAATAAATTAATTTAAAAAAATAAATCAAAATTCAAAAACCATTAGCAACACAGCCTTTTTCAATTCACAGGTTGTAAAGGAAGTAAGAGTTTTAGCTTTCATAAATTTGTAAGAAGGAGTTCAACTATTTGGCATTATGACCTCTTCTGGACAAGGATTAGACCTTGCCAGTTTCCCTGTTTGCTCAGCATGTATCCAATGAGAGGAACAGAATATGAAAGTCATTCCAAATCGCTCAAACTTCAGCTTTCTTAGGGCCACATATTTTTATATAATGCCTCCCATTCCTGGAAGTGTGCCTGCTTTGACTTAAGACTCCACTTTGTTTGTGTGTGTGCATATATGCATTTGTGTGTATATATGTATGTATGTATATACATATGTATGTGTGTGTATGTATGTATGTATGTATGTATATATATATTCCCAAGAAGTGCCAAAGAGAATTCTTGACATATTTGTCAAGAATTAGATCGAGTGCATAGTCCACCTTTTCCTCCTAATGCCCGGCCCTTTAAAGAAGTCAATCCAAAAGTTAACAACTTTACAAGTATTTATTAAGGCCTACCACAGGCAAGCCATCAGAACCCAGACTTAAAGCTCTATATAGATCCTCTAAATTAGAAGACACCAAAAGTTTCACAACTCTAATCCCAAATAAAAATCATATGGTTTAATGTTCACCTTCCTACTATATAGTAATAAGGACAAAAACTAAGTCTCCTGGGTAAGGCAGTACCATGCCTGTACCATGCCTGCACCCTTGGGAGGATCAGGAGTTCAAGGTCATTTTCTGGCTACATAGTGTAGCTGGAGGTTTCTCTCCCATCCACCAGTTTCCAAATAACCACTCTGAGGCTTAATATTAATTATAATTGCTTGGCCAATGGCTTAGGCTTCTTACTGGCTAGCCCTTACATATAAATTGATCCATTTCCAATAATCTATGTATAGTCAAATGGCTATAGCATTACCTCAAATCTTGCTTCTCTGGTAGCTGCTAGCATCTCCCAGACTCCTCCTCCTTTTTCATTTTATCTTTGATTGGATTTCCTGCCTGGTTCTATTCTACTTGTCTATTGGCTAAATCATCTTCTTTATTAACCAATGGTAATAAAACATATTCACAGTGAACAGAAGGGCACCTCATATCATCCCCCCTTTTCTGTCTAATTAAAAAGGAAGGTTTTAACTTTAACATTGTAAAATTACATATAAAAATGGTTATTAAGCAAGAATTACAGTTATAATATTTAGTTTATTTGAATTTGGCAAAATTAAAGAAAATATTCTATTATCTATCCTATCCTTGTGAGTCTAAAGTTTCATGTTTAATTTATCTTTTATCATAACCAAGGAAAACTATAGCTATCTAGTCTTTAACTCCATCAAAAATCCCAGAAGGATATAATATTACTTGAGTAACTGGGTAGTGCATTGTAAGCAACTTCCAAAATTCGAGAAATGACAGAGACATTTGACTGCCTGGACAGTTACCCAAAGTTCCTCTGCAATGTTGGGGCATCCATCTTTAGCCTATAGGCCATAGTATCTGGCAGACTTTTCAATGAAGCAAGAAATTTGAAAGACTGTCCCACTGAAATTGTCAGTTTGTCAATAACATTCCTCTGTGTCCTGAAGAATGTCTGGCAGTTTCTTCTGTAAAACAGGAATGCTGAAGGCCTGTCCCACCTTGTTTGGCAAGTTCAGTAGTCATTTTCTTGTGGGTCCTGCATGTCCAGTTTATACAGCATACCATCAAGCAGTCCCGGCAAGAGCAGTTTCTTGCCCACATGGCTAGCCTTGCATCAGTGAAAACAAACTCCCTAAGAAACTTCTTGATGCCCATCATCCTCTTGAACTAATTGGTGCTGCCAGGAACAGATGTGTCTCACTACCAAGAAAAGTCTAAGTTCTTAAAACATTTTAAATTCCATATTCTGTAGGTCTTTGAAGTGTTTGAAGATTATCTATTCATTTGAAATATCTCTCTGCATATCTAGAAAACCTAACTAACATGACAGTAAGTTTGACTATTACAGATGAATATTAATTTGTACTTCTTAACTATCTATTACATTTTTAAATAAGCAGCATAAAAATATCTTAAACAAGAGTAGAAATATACATATAGAATAACAAAATTGCCCTAAAATTTGCATCAGTAAACCAAAATCCACACCAATGTAAAGTATCTTGAAATTAACAGTTAGTTTTGGGATTAAAGTAGATTTAGCAATCTAATTTTTCATCATTTCTATACTGTATCCCCCTTTTTTCTTTAGAAAAAGACTGACAATAACCATTAACCATTTATAACTAACCCCCTTTAAATGAAAACAAACACTAATAAAATGATATTTTGGGAATTTGGACATAGCTTTCTATACTATTTCCTGCTGATTGGGGGCACTGATAATCTTAGAAAGATCCCGAGAACAATTAGAATTATGGTTAAATCTTGCCTGTAGTAGTTTGTGAGGTTACATAGTCTCAGTCAGTTTCCTTGAAGCTGTTTCAGATATTGAATCACCTGGGTTCCCATGGAGACCTCTCAGAGGTCTTACTTGATAAAACAGCACTAGTCTGGCAGGAATCCACAGCTTCTTATCATTTGTGGAAACAAAAGTAGAACCTCTTTTCCAAAGTAACATATCCTTAGACCCAAATTTTGAAGTCAAGATATTTTTATGCTGGCTTAGCTCCCACAATCAAATGTCTCTCTTCTTAGTTCAATAACAGTCAAAAAACTCAAAGAAAACACAATAATATACAGAATCCTGACTCTGTATTTTTCATCTTTGCCTAAATTATTTCTTTTATATTACTTTTACTGTCTCTTTAAAAACCTTATTTATTATTATTATTATTATTTTGGTTTGTTGAGACAGGGTTACTCTATAGCTTTGAAGCCTATCCTGGACTTGCTCTTGTAGAAAAGACTGACGTTGAACTCAGAGATTCACCTGCCTCTGCCTTCTGGATGCTGGGAATAAAGGTGTGCACCACCACCATCTAGCTACTTTATTTTTTAAAACTATTTCTTTCTGTAACTGCCTATTCTATAACTGCCTATGCCCATTTTCTTTTTTCTTAAGTCTTTGTACATTTTTTTAAACAGATGGTGACCCATTTAGAGGTTTATTTTTGTTTAAATCTGTCTTTATTACATATCTGTAATCCATTTTTGATCACAGCTTTAAACTGTAAAGTGTGCATGGCTGGGACCAGAGCGGCTGCTTTGGCTGTTGGTTCCACTGCACTCAGCATTGCATCATGGTGGAGGTACGTTCACTGACAGCTGTGGGAGTTGTGTTTGCTGACCCACCTCTAGGAATACTGGGTCCTCACTGACACTAAGTAACTTGCAGCACACTGCCCAAAAACTAATTTAAGTGCTCCATAGCATGACCTCCCAAAATAGCCCTCAGTGCTGCCAGCACAAACCAGGAAGTTATCTCTTAAAGAAGCTGTACTTCTGTTCGCTGCCAGCAACCAGAGCCTATCTGAAAAAATATGACTATCAAGAAGTCGTTTCTAAGTGTGTTTTGTATGTCTATAATCATTTTTTTAAAATTTGCATACCGTGTTCTGTCTGCATGTATGCCTGCAGGCCAGAAGAGGGCAGCGGATCTCATTAAAGATGGTTGTGAGCCACCATGTGGTTGGTGGGAATTGTGAACTCGGTATCTCTGGAAGAGCAGTCAGTGCTCTTAACTGCTGAGCCATCTCTCCAGCCCCTTGCATCCATGTTTTTAAGCTTTCTTGGGCTTTTATGTGGATGTACATGTCCCATTTTGGCACCATTTGTAGGCAGAGGTTTCTCTCCTGCCTGCCAGTTCCTAAATAACCACTCTAAAGCTTAATATTAATTATAATTGCTTGGTCAATGACTCAAGTTTCTTACTGGCTAGCCCTTACATATAAATTAATCCTTTTTTAATAATCTATATATTGCCACGTGGCCATAGTGTTACCTCACATCTTGCTTCTCTAGCAGCTGTTAGCATCTCCCAGACTCTTCCTTCTTTTTCCCTTATCTTTGCTTAGATTTCCTTCCTGGCTCTATTCTACCTGGCAATTGACCAAATCATCTTCTTTATTAACCAATGGTAATAAAACATATTCAGAGTGAACAGAAGGGCATCCTACATCAACACTGGGTATTTGAGGCCAGTCTGGGCTAAATGAGACCTTATCTTAAAAAAGAAAAGACAACAAACTGAGTTTATTTTTTGTCACTATATTCTTAGCAACTATCACATTGTCTAACTTGCAATCCCCCTGCCTCAGCCTCCTGAGTCAGCACATAGGGATTTTTGTCACATGGCTGAACTTCACAGTGTTATGGTTAATTATCACTTTAAGAGACAAGCCATGCCCACTCCCAGAGACCCCCTGCCCTCCTTTCACCATCTTGATTCTGTTTCTTTTTGGCAAGTGCGCTTGCTCCCTCTTTCCCATTCTCTTCTCCGCCTCTCTCCTCTTCTTTTCTTTCTTCACCTCCCCCCCTCAAGTAATAAATACCCAATTCTATTCTGTATGATGTCCATGTGCCTTCTACCCGCTGCCTGCTCACACCCCTGGGATCACTGGGACCAGTCCGCCCGCCATGTGTCTCCCTGTCTGGGACCAGCCACCACTTGGGGACCAGCAGCCATCTCTGCCTGGGACTAGCTGCTCTGAGGGCCCACTGCCTACTGCCACCAGGGATTCTGCAGCATTTTTAATACACAGCACATTGATGTTCTTACCACTCATCAAGGAATGGAGCTCATTGTTGCACTCAGTTTATTTTGAAATGATTGGTTCCTTAACTAACAAAGAAGAAGACACAAACTTCAAAAAACTACCAACTTTTAAAATCATCTTCTTTTCTAAAATTTGCTTGTATGAAGAAAAGTAACATGTAGTGTCACAGTACAGCCTCAGGCTTGTGTGAAATTGAGGAGTTTTTAAGAAAATCTTCACATTAACCTATGTTTGAAGACAACTTCAAACCTGACACTCCTGAAGACAGACATATGAAAACTCAATGGTTGGTTCCAACTGACATTTCTCCTAAAACCTCAGGAAGAAATTCTAATCCAAACAAATGCAGAGCTCATCCCAAGAACTAGGTTGACTTCTTTGATTTTTTCTTCTCTGCTTCTTCCTTTTCTTTTTCTATTTCAGTTACCTGCAATTCAATTTCTTTGGCACTAAACATCTGAAAAAAGAAAACATCAAATATTTTTCAATTATACCAATACTTGAGTGTTTTTTTTATCTATAGCTTTGTACTGTATACCTTCAGGAATGCAACAAAATGCCTCAAGAAAATACAAAACAATGTACTTGTACTAATGAGGTCAAATCAGGTCTGTGACATCTGGTATCACTGCACGGCAGGATGAGGACAAGACACTTCTGTTAGACATCCTGTACGTACACTGTCACTCTGCAACATTTAGCTGCAAGACTTATTTCTAAGTAACTCCATCCTACTGTGTGCTACTCTTATACAGTCTCGCTACTGTTATGATTAGAGTGTGAAAGGTCCCCCACAGGCTCATGCATTTTGGGCATTTGGTGTCAAGCTGGTGTAGCTGTTTTAGAAAACAATGGAACCTTTGAAATGTAGGGTCCTTGAGTTTTATAGCTTGCTGTCATTTTCTGTCCTTGTCTCTACTTACTATTCTAGGGAATATAGGAAGAGATAGGGAAGATTTCAAGCCCAGATTATGGGGTGGGTGAAGACAGACAGACAGGTAGTGTGAGTGCACGTGTGTACACACATCTGTGAGGACAGGAGAGGACAGTCTTTACTAGAAGCTGACTATGCTGGCGCTTGATCTTGGAATTTCAGGGCTGAGAGAAATGTGTTGTTTAAGCCACTGAGTCTATGGTAAAGTTAAAGCCTTCCCAACTAACAAAGGCTAAAAGTAATTTTATAGTCATCAGGGGTAAACAGTATGTTCTAGGAACACAGCATGAACCAGGCCAGAAGAGCTGACTGTGACATATTTGGTTCTTCATAAAGGAGTCAAAGGGATAACCATCTGACTCCCTGGGGTGGAGGAGGAGAGTCTCTGACCTGTTTTCCTTAGAGCTGTTCTGCTCTCAGATTTGCAAATTCTGAACAACCTCTCGCCTCACCCCCAGTGCTGGCATTACCATTCTTCCAGCATGTCCACAGCTCTTAGAAAGTGTGTGCTATCCTTAATCCTTATACCAGCACTAAGGTTTCTTTCAGTTTTGCTTTGCTAAAACTTATTTTCTGAATTCCACTGCTGTGGGAGTTCCTTCAGCTCCTTCAGCCAATCGCCGCTGAGTTACCAGCCCATTGGGGTGTGGTCTCTCTCCCTTTAAAAAAAGCAACGGCTGTCCTCCACTCTGTCTTTGTCTTCCGGCTC